CCACGGTTTCACCACATTGACGCTGAACTTAGTATGAATGCCTAAATCAGTGAGTCAGTCAACACGCATAACTGGCTTACCTGACATCTACCACTCTCAGTTCCCCTAGAAGCTGGATTACAGGCCTGACCGGCATTTTCCATGACACCCACATTGTCATGTATTTGGAGATTTCATTCATAGGCAGCATATGGCTGAGATGGGCCAGGAGCACCATATGGGCTCTCGGGTTCCTGGTGGCAATGGAGTGTAAGCTTGGGGTAAAAGGGATAATCGCTGAGTCTGCAGCTCTAGAATTTTGAGTTCTATGAGTCCATGGAAGGATCTAGACAAGAAGATATTCCAGGCTAGGACAATACCATGTTAGAAGTCAGATCAAGGGCAGCATAGCTGAACACAACGAAGACACTAGCCTGGAATGGAGGGTTTGGAATAGCCAAGGGTAGGAAATGAGAGTTAGGAGGGGATCAGATTGTCGAGAGCACTGAACGCTAGGCTCAATTTGGATCTTCGTTCTCTAGACAATGGGGAACCAGTCCAGTTTCCCAAACTGGGTAACTCCATGTTTGGGGACAGCTAGGTGGCGCAGTGGATAGAGCACTGGCCCTGGATTCAAGAGGACCTGAGTTCAAACCTGGCCTCAGACACGTAGCACTTACTAGCTGTGTGACCCTGAGCAAGTCACTTAACCCCATTGCCTAGCCAAAAACAAACAAACAAACAAACAAAAAAAAAGAAAGTGTTGTTTTAAGATTTGAGGTAAGGGAGTCTGGCAGCAGGAATGGAAGCTAACAAGAGATTTCAGTAGCCCAGAATTGAGGGGCTAGATTGGGGGTCACAGATTTAGTGTCTGACTCTCTGTGACTCCATCTACCATAACACACCAATGATGTCCATGGGGTTTTCTTGGCAAGGATACTGGAGTGGTTTGCCATTTCCTTCTGCAGCGGATTAAGGCAAACAGAGGTGATTTGTCCAGGGGCACACAGCTAGTAACTGTCTGAGGCTGGATTTGAACTCAGGTGTTCCTGACTCCATGCCCAGCACTCTAACCACCCAGCCTCCCACCTGTCTCTAGATTAAGAACTTAGAGGTCATCTAATTCCCCTCTCTCCATTTCACCAAAGGAAAAAAAAAAATGAGGCCCCAAATGGGGAGGTGATTTGATATATTCCCAGGGGAGGGTGTGATCATGAACCAAGGGTCACTAGTTTTACAAAATAAAAGCAGGTTGCATTTCACATGATTATTTTTAGTCCAACTTTCTTTTACTTCTGTTCTCCCAAACTCCCTTACAGTTTGGCTCAATTAAACTGGTAAAGCATCTTTTAGTGCTCAAATAAGGGAGAATCAACTTCTGGAAGCTCTTGAGACTTTGAACTGATTTGACAACTGGTAGAATAAATCTAGATGTAGATATACAAAAATAACCATTACTACCGCTAAACAATCATCTCTCAAGTACCTACTACTGATTCAGAGTTCATAGTACTGGGCATCAATTCACGTTTTCTCCCTTATATTCTCATAGGAGGCTGACTACAAAAAGAAAAAAGGAAAACTGTTGGAAAGCTAAAGTAAACCATTAGCTGGTTGGCAGCATTATAGTTCATAATCTTTTAAGTAGGACTGGTAATTACAGTTAGGCTTAAACACAGATGTTTTATATTAACAGGATGCTCACACCCTGCTATTTGGGAGCGGTATTCTGACAGATAATTCGCAAGCAGTGTTTCTGAGGCTATCCTCCCCAGAACTGGGTTGCCAGGAGGTAGGCTTTTCCTTAAAAATCTGTTTTGAGCTTCCCATTTTATGTATGAGTAAATTGAGGGTAAGGGTAAGAGGGGAGAGGATTTCCCCAAGATCACAAAATTACTGAGTAGCCAAGGTGGCACTTGAACTCTATAAGTCTACTGACTTCTAGTTCAGTCTTCTTACCAGCAGACCACACATCTCCTTAGAGAATTACATCCCTGAGTGGCTTTTTCAATAGGGAGGGGCTAGAAAATCTCACCAAATATGGCAAATGCTATTACTCTGAAACAAAGGGAAGAATCACCTATACCTTTGTTCCAGCCCAAAGCCACATGGCATAGTTTGTCCTCTGCTGTAATATTGGCATACCACCAATTACCTCCCAGGTGGTTGGTTTACCCCCACCCACAACCACAGCCACAGTCACTGGAGGAATGGTCAGCACTCACGGAGGTTAATTACCACTTTCAGGCTGCTAGGTCTACATTAGTCCTCTGGGGTCCTAAATAGTTCCTAAATGACTTAAAACTCTCAAAAGAATTTAAAGTAATGGTTCATTTCAGTCTGGATGACACTTCTCAGGTTACAGAGTTAACCAAGGAACAAACCACCACATTCTCCATTAACAGGTTAAATGATATTGCTTTTAGGTAAAATACACAAAGCAGGAACATGTGCTATGTCAGCTATATAGCCAACCTTGGAGCTCCAGGATTCTCACAATCTTGGACATAGAACAGCACAGATGTCACTGCAGTATTTACCAACCTGAAAATGATCAAAGGAAAAAGGGAGAGAAGGGAGGGAAGGAAGGAAGGAAAGATGGACAGAAGGAAGAGAGGAAGGGAGGAAAGAAGGAAGAAAAAAAGGAGGGAAGGAAAGAAGGGAGAGGGATGGAGAAAGGGAGGGAAAGAGGAAGGAGGGAATTGGAAGGAAGGGAGGAAAGAAGGAAGAAAAAAAGAAGGGAAGGAAGGAAAGGAGGAAGAGGTATGGAGGAAGGGACGGAAAGAGGAAGGAAAGAAGGAAGATGGAAAGGAAAAGAAAGAAGGAAGGGCCAGGTACCGTTTGGGACCAACTCAGCCCTAGTGCAGATAACCCAAGTGGGAACTACAGCTATGGAATGTTTTTAATACAGTTTCAAGTAACATGATTCAGCACAAATTCTATACCAATCAAAGATTGGTCCAATGGGCATTAAGAACTACATAACCAATGCATAAGAACTGTACAATTAATCATGGGTATTCATTAACCCTCTCCCAATCATGACAGAGGAAAGGGTCATTATCTAACTGGGATTAAAAGGGAAAACTCCTAAACTATACAATCACAGACAGAAATATCCAAGGATATAAGGCTGGGTAATGCCCAAGAACAATTCCAGGGAGCAACATAAACCTCTGTGGCCTCTGCCATCAACGTCTTCTGAACCACTACAAAGTTCATTCCAAAAATGTCTATTATGAAAAATAAACAGGCTTCTTCCAAGAGAGGTGGTACTTGAAATTCTCTGGAAATGACTGCCTTGAAAGAATGTGCAGGGGGTGGGATGGGGAAGGTGGGTGGGGGTAGAGACAGCAATTGACATTAGTTTTAAGTCATCCAAAAAAAGTTCAAATCAGGACAATTTTGGTTTATTACTCAATAAATATTTATTTATCAAGCACTTACTATTACACTGTGCTAGGTGACAACAGGTTGGGGGTGAGAATGAGTGGGAAAGACTACCATCTGAACCAAGGAATGGGCTACAAAAAATGTTCAACAAGTATTTGTGAAATGAATGAATGAGCTTACTAGAGGGAAATGACTAGGCCATGAACAGGACTAGAGCACGTATGTTTGGTGAGGGGGAAGAGGGGGAAGAAATGTTACTTTGTTTCAGTAATTAAATAAGAAACTAAACAAACTAGAAAAAATAACCATCTGCTTAGGAGAATGCCTTAAAAAATGAAAACATATGCAATAGTGCTAATCACATTTCAAAGACAAATATTTTCTCAAAACCACTTTGGGTATCAAGTTTTATAAGAATTTTACATTTAAAGATGTGAAAAAATTTTCTAAAATTTCAGATTCAAAAACTATATTCCTCCCTGGATTTGCTTAAGGAAGGAAATATGGAAGATGATTCATTACTCTGTCCTGCACCTCAAAAGTAATACTTTAGGGGCAGCTAGGTTGCTCAGTGGAGAGTACCAGCCCTGGAGTCGGGAGGACCTGAGTTCAAATCCAGCCTCAGATACATAACACTCACTAGCTATGTGACTCTAGACAAGTCACTTAACCCCAACTGCCTCACCAAAAAAAAAAAAAAAAGTAATATTTTAAAATAATTCTATTGTATTCATGACATGAGGATACATATAGCATAGGGAGAGAGGCTAGATCTGTGATTTCATTTAGGGAGCTTTGTAGAGAGAGGTAGACAGAGTCTGGAAGGCCTGAGTTCAAATTTGGCCTCAGACTCTTACCAGCTGTATGACTCTGGACAAGTCACTTAACTTCAGTTTGCCTCAGTTTCCTTAACTGTAAAACGAGGAACATAACCGTACCTACCTCTCAGGGTTTTATCGTTGTAAAGATCAACTAAGATATTTGGAAAAAGTGCTTAGTGTCACAATACCCAACACATGGTTGGTTGTCGTCCTTCATTCTCAGAGGACCAAAATGGCATTGCTATGTTGAGGTCAAAGTAAAGTGTGTCCAACTGAGGCTGAGGAGATTACTATAATCTTGAAAGGCTCTACCACAGGTCGGGCACAAATAGTCCATATGAACATTTGGAGTGGAGATGTCCTAACACACAGTAGGTGGTTAATAAATGCTTATTCCCATCTATCATTATAGGACAAAGCCTTCTTGGCAATTCAGAGTTGCCTAGAACCCTAGCACTGAGGGAGTTTATGTGATGTGCCCAGGGTCACACAGTCAGAGGCAAGGCTAGCACCCAGTTTTCCTGACTCTGGAAACATCTCTCTATTTACTATGTCACACTGCCTAGACACTGGTAAATAAAGAAAGTGTAGGAAAAGGCACTAGCTAAATAAATGAATGAATAAATGGATAAATAAATAAATAAATAAATAAATGCCAATAAATAAATGAAGGAAGGAAGGAATTTGCAAAGATGCTTTCCATTAAATCCTGGAAATTAGTAAAACTCTCAGTCATGGAGACTTTTACAACAGGAAATGACTAAACCCATCACTTTCTGGTAGCTGCTGTATATAATAAATACATACCAACAGTTCCATCCCGGGGACATAGTTAAGAGGTATCATATAGTCATTCGGAAGATTTGCCACCTGCAGACAGAAACAAAAAAGGAAACACCATAAGAAAAGTCATAATCATCTCAATTTGAAAGATGTCAAGAGAAACCTGTCATCATATATAACTATTGATTTGTGATATTTTCTTCAAAATGGGATATAATATTCAACCAACCAACCAATAAGCATTTGAATCCCTGAAGTGGTCTCATTATTTGAATTTGTACAGCAGGTTTCAATTGGGCTGGAACTAATGGCTATATTTTACATAATAATAACTTCAAATAGTGCCAATTTGAATACACATGCCCACTTCAGAGGACTGATTATTTGTACCAAGTGCCAGGCACTGGGGATCCAAAGGGAAAAGGGAGAAAGCCCTGCCCTTAAAGAGTTTACCAAGAGAAACATTGTACACACACAGTGAACACAAGGTATCCTGGAAGCAGGGAGGTACAAAGGGGTGGGAGATAAGGGTGAGGGAGGGGGAGTTTGAGCTTCATGCCAAAAGTGGTGAATGAACTGAGCTTTGAAGGAAACTGGGGATTCCCTTTTCAAAGTCAAAAAGACAAAAAAAGCAACTTAATCACCCCAATAATTCAAGCTTCTGTCAATAGAAACTCAATACTGAGTATGAGGATGGTAGGAAAGAAATGAATTTAAACGCCATCATTCATTTGGAGGGCAGAAAACTTAAAAGTTTCAGTAAAAAGAAGGGTGGACATTCCTCAGAATCCTATTTTTCTGCTCTGTTCCTCCACTGCAACATTAAAGTAAAACTTTCTCAAAATGCTTCTGTTATCTTCCTTTCCAACGAGACCTGTGATTTTATTGGTGTAGGTCAGGGTGGGGAACCTGCGGCCTTGAGGCCTCTAGGTCCTCAAGTACGGCCCTTTGACTGAATCCCTCCCAGAAAATTCCCAACTATCACATGAATTAAAATGAATTCTTCTCCTTCCTGATTTCTATATTCACTTAGCCTAATTCAGGCAAAAAAAAAAATCCTGACCTGAATGAACTGCTGCAGGGAAGAAAGAAAAACCAGAAAGACAACATAATAATGATGGCTAACGTGTCTGCAGCACTTTAATGTGGACAAAGTGCTTTAGAAATATTCTCTTATTTAAGCCTCACATCAGCCTTAGTAAGTAGGTGCTATTATTATCTACATTCTACAAATGAGGAAACTGAGGCAGAGAGAAGTTAAGTGACTTGCCCAGGGTCACCCAGCTAGTAAGCTGTCTGAGGCAGGATATGAATTCAGGTCTTCATGACTACAAGTCCAATATTCTATCCATCCCACCATCCAGTTGCCATCAAAATGTACAATGACAACAATAACACAAAGACAAATACTGAAAGGCAAGTGAACTCTGATTAAATACAATGACCAATCTGGGCCACTGAGAACAGAGTGTCAAACTTTTGTTCCTCCTCCACTTGGTAAAAAGGTGTGGTGGCTATGGATGTGGAACACGGCATATGCTGTTCCACACGTCCACCATGTTGGCTGATTTTGCTTAACTTTTTCCCCCCTTAAAAAGGGGACTTCAGTTGGGACAGATGGCATATCAGGGACTAAACAGGATGTAAATACCAAAAGACTTTTTTTAAAAAGGAAGAAAGAAAAGGAGGGAGGGGAAAGAGAAAGAAAAAGGAAGGAAGGAAGGAAGGAAGAAAGAAAAAGAAAAGAAAAGAAAGAGAAAGGAAAGAAAGAAAAAAGAAAGGAAGAAAGAAAGAGAAAAGAAGAAAGGAAGAAAGAAGGGAAGGAGAAAGAGAGAGACAGACACTGAGTATGTGAGATCCACAGATTGGGAACTGCAGGGGATCCATGGGGCTATCCAGTAAAATTCCATCATTTTATAACTCAGGCCCAGAGAGGGTAAGGGACTTTTCTAAAGAGGCACAGATAGTAGGTAGCAGAGATAGTATCTGAACCCAGGTTGTCTGACTCCAAATCCTGCAGTCTTTCCCTAGCACCATGGCATTGCTGGTTTGTTTTCTAAAACTCTGATTTTTTTTTTAAACAAGCTTTCATTGCTTGCCAACTCCATACCCTTTCTGACAAACTTATTGCAAGAGCTTTGGGCATTAAAACCTGCCAAAGGAAGGGGAGTGGGGGAGGGAGGGTTGAGGAGGAAAGAGAATAAAAATGAGATGAAGTGTCCGTTCAAGCTGAGAACATTGAAAACTTCGGCAGTTTCATATTAGCTCATTTGGTCTGATGCCAGTTTAGTAAAACAAGTGACTTTGCCCTATTAGGCCTTGGATTAGTCCATTGGCTTTGCCATCTTTTCTTTCCTTCCTTCCTTTTTCTTTCTCATTCCTTCCTTTCTTTTTTCTTTCTCCCTTTCTTCTCTCTCCTTTATCTCTCCCTTTCTCTCTGTCTGTCTCTCTCTTTTTCTGTTTGCTTGTCATGATAACCCTCCCAAATCATCTTAACCTCTTCCAGTCTTGTGTTAGGACATTAAAACCTGAGCCAGTCCAAAGCCAGGGGTAGCAGAGGGAGGCTTATCTGAACAACAGACCCTGTGCCTCCTGCCAGTTGTCTGCCAAAGCTTGCTCTTCTGTCACCATCCCCATTCCACAGCCGACCTCTGACCCCTCAACCTCTTAATATTGGCTTACATTTCTACTGTGCTCAAAAGCAGGGATGCAGAATGACGTAGAAAGCTGGCCTCAGATTCAGGAAGACGCGGGTTTGAATCCCACTTCTGACACACAATGACTACGAAAAATGACCTAACTCTCCCTTAACCCCTCTCCCCACCACTGTTGGATGGAACTCTAAATCTTAAGGAACACACAAGGTGCCATGAACTGAATTGGCAGAAGTGGTTTTTTTTCATCCAGGCCTAGAAGTTCGCAGGCCTCAGACTCAGCCCCTTCAAAGTTCAGAAGGCGTGTTCCTCATTCCATCTGGGTGAAGGAGGTTCCAGGTCT